AAAAAGGCAATCTTGTATAACGTTGCCCTGTAGCGAAGGACATAAATCGAGAATGATGGAAAATGGAGATCTAGAAAGGGGCCCTGCAGCGAAGGACAGAAATCGGAGCTATTATGGCGGCGGCAGTGGCGGCGGTGGAGGAGGAGGATATGTGATGGCGTATTCTGACAGTCAGTGGACTTCATGGCTGGTGCCGATGATTATTGTGGCTAATGTTGTCATGTTTGTAGTGATCATGTTTGTCAACGATTGTCCGAGAAATCACAGTGGGCTTCGAGGCGATTGTGCGGCCAGGTTTTTGGGGAGGCTCGCTTTTCAGCCCCTCAGAGAAAACCCTCTCTTCGGCCCTTCTTCCTCAACGTACTCTCTCTCTCTCTCCCCCCACCCCGCCCTTCTTTCATGATTACTTATTTTTTTATTTTTGGTGATGAATTTTACTGTCAGACTCGAGCATTCTTTGGCCGGTGTGTGGCTTTTTGTTTGGACGGTGATGATATTAGGAACAATATTTTTTAAAAGTTTTCGAATTGAGGATGTTTTTTTGCTTACTATTGATTAGGATTTGCCAACATAAATTTGGAATTTGACTTCTTGCCATTGTATATTGATTGGGTGTTGGATTCTGCTTGATCTAGGATTTATTGTTCTAAGAATTTGTATTAGGTTTGGGAGTTTGTAACCTTTTGTTCAGCTTCACTCTTAAAGCAGTTATATTTCAGGGTAAAAATTGTACTGTAAAAGCTTCATTTTAAGCAACTTGTGGTTCATTCAGTTTAAAGTCATTACAATTTAGTCAAACAGAGTGGTGCTTTTGCGCTGATCGTTTTTCCTTTTTCCTTTGTTTTTTTCTCAGTCACTTTTGATTTATGTACTTTAGACTTCTCCATTCAAATTGATCAGATTATGGTTTCATTATTTCAAACTTCGTTGTGCTTTTGATGGGGGGTTTAAATGGTAAAATCTGAACTTCTCGTCTTTGTGAATTACTAGTTGCTTTGCAGTTTTCAACTATTAGTGAGATTTTATGTGGAATGGTTAAACATTCCCAGTTTAGTATTTGGAAGTATGGAAACAAGTTTATTGGTTCTGTTGAAACAGACAGCTACCTGTTATGAGTTTCGGTTTGTACTATGAGCATTCAATATTGCTTGTAATGTTCTATAGTTTCCGTTTCTGTATTTGAGTTGCGAGTAAAGGCCTCCTCTTAACAGATGCAACTATGTGATTGTGATTTCACATAACCATTTCGTTTGTTCTAACTCCTATCCATCTATTATTGGTGTAGAACATAGCCCAAAAATAAGCTTGACATTTAAAACTTATTTGTTTTCAATCAGGAGATCGTTCTTTTGGGATCATATTCCATGACAGTGTTGGAAGTTCACAAGAAAATTTTTCGGTGCTAACTATAGGTGTTCAAAGTTAAAGTCAGAGTAAATTAGTTTAGAACCTTTTCCACTTTATGGATATTCCATATGGAAGAAAATGTCTTTCCTTTCGTTTTCGTTTTCGTTTATGTAAGAGTACATTAATTATGAGGAAAAAAATTGCTTATACTTTTATTATGGCGACACAAGAAGTGGGATTTTGCCATGTGGGGGAGTTTGGGTCGGTACTATAGAATATGGTGCCTGCTCTTTGCAAAAGTATAACTGCAATCTTAGAAACTAAATAAATTTTGATATTTTTATTTATTTATTTATTTATTTGTAGATTGCAGAAGTTGGGAGCTCTCGACTGGAACATGATAGTCCACCAAAATCAAGCTTGGAGGCTCATTACCTGCATCTGGCTGCATGCTGGTGTTATTCATCTACTTGCAAACATGCTGAGCCTGGTTTTCATTGGTATTCGCCTAGAACAGCAGTTTGGCTTTGGTAAGAAATTTAAAATTAATTGATACAACAGAAATTGGACATATACAACTATCATTATGGTTATGCATAGACAAGCTTCAACAACAATCTTGTCGCAATTTTTAGTTTCAAATATCACTCTATTTCTTTTTTAGCAACTCAATGAGTTCCAACAGCTATAGGGTCTTTCTGTAGTCATCCCTTTTTCTTTTTTCAATTTATACAATACTTTTTCCTTTTTCTATTTTCCGCTTTCTAGTCTCACATTTATGTTTCTGAATGGTATTATGCAGTGAGAGTAGGGCCTATTTATCTGTTATCGGGCATTGGTGGGAGTGTACTCTCTTCCCTTTTCATTCAGAAGAGTATTTCCGTTGGAGCTTCTGGTGCTCTGTTTGGACTTCTTGGAGCAATGTTGTCCGAGTTATTTACAAACTGGACTATCTATTCAAACAAGGTAATTTCTCAAAGCTATCCTGTATTCCTTCCCTTTTTTCCTTTACTTTTTCACTCTCTTTTTTTGAAGTTAAGTTACGACAAATCTCAATGT